TTATCAGGCAAAATTTTCATCCTGATCAAACACCAAATTCTCCCAACTAATTTACAAGGAAATGTGTAGCAGCTACTGGGGAGAATCGACAATCAGATATTGGAAGTGAAAGGGTTAATCGACCACTCCTCCAGTGGAAGCTTTTAAGGGTAAATACAAGCAAATCACAAATTACACAGTGTACATGAACACAGAATTTACAATCCAAACTGGCCCAAGGCAGACCAGTTGGCTATATACAAATTGTAGTCAAAGAGTTGAACTTGAAGCAATCAAGAACAAATCCATTAAGTAACAGAGTGGAAGGAATGAACCTGGAACCAAAAGAATACAAGTCCAATCCCTCAGCAACACTCTGACTCCTTGACTTTAATGTTGATGATTCTACAGAGAACTAGCTTTACCTCCACCAGTTGGCTCTGGGATTTCAAATGTGGGATCCTGGAATGGAGCACCAATACTGACCAGAGGTCTCAGTGTCACATGACCAATCATGACGAGCGATGACACAACAAGAACAACATTCCTGCAAGCTTCGCGCGCTTCACTTCCCGTCATCTCTCCCAGCATTAACAGCAGTTCTGACAAGAACAGGTAGCCATGACAACTTCGAAAATCAGCCAATAAATAATGAGAAATTGCTGACGAGTCTTTCAGACAACAAACCAGTGTTACAATCATTTCTACCAACTCCAAAGGATTCACTTCCTGGATTTTTCGCATGTTCATCAGGCATTGTGCAAAGCATGACTTGCCTAAGAAAAAAAAGTTAAAATGATTTTTTTTAAGATAAAAAGTCAACTTCCAGGAGTGACCAAGACAGAATTTCTCCTTACAAAATAAAAGCAATATCAAGCAGACAAGAGGTGAGAATAAAGAAACATATCAATTTGGAGATTATCAGTTTATCCCATATCAAATTCTCTAAAACTAAAATTATAAGATATGAACATTAGACAGTAAGGAGAATTGCAAAATGAGATCTTGGAGCTAAAGGGTTCATTCAATCCACAACATCTACACCTGCAATATGCTTTAGTTCTATATGCAAATTACATATTCATGTGCTCCATAAAAAAACGAGCCATCATTTTTTATCTTTTATCTTTATACATGGATAACCTCATGTTATTAAAAGCAAAATTCTTTCTTCCAAAAAAAACAAAATTACATTTCCCTTTTCAGGCGGTGCATGCCTTTGTTTACTTCATTTATTTATAATTTACATTTCCTTAGTAGAGTATTATTTCATGTAATATCATCTCATGTTTTCAAAATCACAAGAGGGTGTCTGAATGGAAGACATCTTTTAAATCATTCCCAAAACTAACATTTACAGATAAGGAAGTGCCTTTGATGATGAAAAACTAACATTTATAGATAAGTAAGTGCCTTTGATGATGAAAAAATATCAGAGATGTCATGAAAAGAGTATTATCTTCAAGAATTTTTCTTACGGTAACAAATGAAATGCCACTATTTTAAACTTCCATTGTTCCCATCTTATTAGAAATTAATTCAAAATTAAATCATTTCTAATTGTTTTGATCATCATTTATTTGTTTATATTTTTCTGAAACGATTCTGGAGAAACCTCTATAAATACTCATTTTAGTAAATGTAAACTTTTTCTTATCAAAATCTACTCCCATGATTTGGTTTCTTTGTTTCATGAAAAAATATGTACAAATTTGAGTGAAAATTTGTAAAGTGGTTTCGGAGATCAAATCTTTAAATGCAAAAATTCAAAATCTATGGCTAACCAAACACTCCTGACTCTAAACCGACTTACCATAAAAACATATTAAATTATTTAAAAAAAAAATCATTTTGGCCGTTGTCAAAACAAGTTAGACATTGAAAGAAGTAATAATAGAAGCTTCTAAAGAGGACAATAAAGCAATTAACGCCTGGCACGATCTCAAAAGTATCTGCTAATCGATTTCTGTGATTAGTTTACTTACTGTGAATATAATGGACGACGTCTCGGTCCAAACCATGGCGAGTTAAAGTCATTAGAATTTCCGACACACAGCTTCGCCACTGAGCATTGTGTTTCGGGATCGGGCACGATATTGCAGTAAAGAGCAACGCCAGATCGTCTGTGTGGACAAGTTCCCGGGAAGTCGCATAATAATTGCATAATTTAACCAGTACTTGAGTGTACAATTTTTGAATTGTTAAAGCATCATCTTCGAGATCTTCACTGCTCTTGTCACTAGATTGTTCAATAGGAGGTAAATCGTAGAATAAGTAAAGACATTTAACCATGTTTGACGGTAGACTCGCAGCTACCATGCATTCCACTACTGGGGTATCTGCCGAAGCAAGAATATGTAGCGTGTTCAACAGAGTCCATCCCGATACAGTATCCTCCGCAGAATCACGCATAAGGAATTCAATAATCATTCTACTAGCTGCTTCGTTTTGTTGATTCGCTGCTCTTCGTCGAATTTCGTTCACCATGAGTCGAGAGACGTGTGCCGCAAATTGACAAACATCTCCAAATTTCTCTGTCATACTACTCGGTTTAGCAAGGCCGAACACCTTGCAAAACAAAGGCAGCATCATATACAGCTTAGTCTCTTGTTCACGAACAGTCAGTGGCACAGGTGAATGAAGGAATTCCATAAAAAGCTTTCGTAAATGTCGCAACGATAGTGCTTCGTCTTCGCTCGATTGATGAATGTTCGAAACCGCTCGGCCGGGTCTACCAACAAGCTTTCGAACAAATTGCATATTTGCGATCCCTTGGAAATAGGACCAATACTTCAAGGCTTCTGTAGTGTTGAAGAACCCATGGTTATAAGAACTAGGCACAAATCAAAGCTACCAGCCGAGGTTTTTAAAGAGTAACCTCACAAATTTGCCTAACTGTCCATTTTCCAAACTTCGCTGTGATCCCAAGTTCATGGTGATACCCCTTGAAAGAACCGCTGACCCAGAACTGCATTGCGACTTTTCGTGTAATGCTATTTAACGTAGCGGAACACTAAGTAATCGATTTTTTTAAAGTAATATTGTTATGACCACTGAGGACAAGATGCCTTCGCCTCACCGGTTACTCATAGTCGGTGCAGGTCTAACAGGATCAGTAACAGCTTCTTTACTGCGCAGAAAGTTTCCAAAGGATGCGTTGAGCATCACTTTCTGGGAGAAATCTCGTGGAGCAGGGGGCAGAATGAATACGAACAGGAGCGCTGGTGATTCACGCTGTACCGTCGATCTTGGGGCGCAATATGTTTCAGCGACGCCAGATTATTTTAGATCTCACGAGAGGTACACTGAATTTCACATCTTCGTTAGCTGAGTTGATAATTTGGGCAGCAGCAGTTCGTTCGAATTGAAGGCTGTTGCATAATCACGCGGGGAAATGAACCCTCTACCCCCTCACCTGACATCAGAATCCATTTTCTCCATACTGTTCTCTATACATTTCTTGAGGTACAAGGAGAATTTGTTTGACAATGAAGAGCTTCTTTCAATGATGATCATTTCCTTTTTTCTCGTGACCTTCATGTGTGATTTAAGGGTGATATTGTCAGGAGAAAGTAGATGCTGGTCACTTCAGGTTCAAAGGGATAAAACAGTTACCCATTGGAATGGACCATCATGGATCCATAACCACTTTATACACATGAACCCTCTTCTTTTGCCCAATTGGTAAAATACTTAGGAAGTGTACCAGTAACTTTTCAAGGGCTGATGTATTCCACTGGTATATTTGCTCTGCAATCCTTATTCAATGTGGGGGGGATTTAAATCAGAAATACAAGGAATGGCAGGGATTTCAATAAAAGCGAGTTACAGACAGTTTAAGTCCAACACTTGAGTGGTAAGTATGCAAACATTTGCCACTTTACCATCCCAACCATGCCCTCTGCAAATTTATGGCAGTGTTAAACTTCCTTAGGCATTTTGTAAGGTGATACTCCCTCAATATTACTTGGAAAGTGGTGTAAACCACCCATATCAGTAAACACTAAAATGCTGAAGGGTTTTCTTACAATATCTCACTATTCTTTACCCACCTCACCACCTCTCCCCTTCCGTACTAGGTGGTCCTTATTTTTGGCCATCAAAGGCTTATTATTAAGAACAGTATTCATGTCTAGAAATTATATGGAAGACTGCAAATCTTTAACTTCCTCCTACATTTGACTCAGAATCTTAGGGGAAGGTTTTCCTATACAAAGTGGCTTTAATAATCCAAGGGGCTGAGAAGTGAACCTTCTTCTTTCTTCTTGATATCCCAGGGAATTAGTCCTTTAGTGCACTTTACAAGGCCTTTGTCATTGTGTAACTCTTGGACATGTCATACAGTAAATCCTCCAATAAGTCCCCTGCGAGGCTCATTTATTTCAGGTACTTTGAAGGGGGGGGTGGCCTCTTAGAATGGGGGGCTTATTAATTTAGAACTCAATAAAGAACTCAATTTTATGATCTAACTCTCTCAATGGACCTTGTTTAGCCATATTATATTTTGAGCATCACTGTAATTTCTATATACAGTATTCCATTGGTGTCCACATGATATCATCAATCAATTAATCACCGTAATCAATTTTAAATGACAAATTAAGATTACAATACTTGAATAAATTTATTGTACTTACTGACATGGAGTGTTGTTTTGAATTTTTGTTGTTTTTTTTTAGGGGGAGGGGTGGGGGGGCTTAATAAATTTTTTCCTCTAACTTATTAGAGGG